GTGCCCCGCAAGACGAATGCCTCGCAAGACGGAAAACTCGCTAGACGAAAGAGTTTTCCGTTTTGGAGGTGCCTCGCAAAACGAATCTGCTATGGGCTTGCTTCGCAAGACGAAAATGTCTTGCGAGTTCCTGGGTTTTTTTTTTCCTTTCCCCCCTCTTTTTCTAAGTCGCTAAGCCGCTTATCTGCTTATCAGATAAGCTGATAAGCTGCTAAAAGCCGCTAAAAGCCGCTAATAGCGCTAATCCGCTAATCCCATCAATGGGCTTGCTTCGCAAGACGAAAAAACCGCTAGACGAAGAGACTCCCAGAACGGATTCTTTTCGTCTTGCGAGGCACCACTGTATTTTTCACCCCATAAGGCGCACCTAGTTTTTTGGGGGGGAAATAAAGAAAAAAAATTTTATTCCACCCCCCCAGGCCCAAGCTTCCCCCGACCCCAGAACAGGCTGCTCTCCGCAAGCCGTGGGAAGGCTCCTGCGGCTTGCGCAGAGCTACCCGAAGCCCGGGGTGCGACTGCTAAGCGCGCCCCAGTCTTCGGGATGCAGGCAGCTCTCCGCAAGCCGTGGGAGCCCGCGGGAGTTCCCGCTGGGCTCCCACGGCTTGTGGATAGCTTCCTGAAGCCTGGAGAGCGAGAGGGGTCGGTGCGCACCGATGCCTCTCGCTCTCCAGGCTTCAGCGAAAGCCTGCATTCACCCCATAGGACGCACACACATTTCCTCATTTTTGGAGGGGAAAAAGTGCGTCCTATAGGGCGAAAAATACGGTAAGTCACCAAAAATCGGCAGCAAAGAGTCAAAGCTAACAGCTGTAAATAAAGCTCATGGGATGTGGTGGTTGACGGGTTTATTGTTGCTTGAAGAAATGGAAAGGAATACCAATGTGTTTTTTTAACAAAATGTGTGCTACCAGTCCTAGGGGAGAATAGTGCGAGAGATGTAGGAGACTGTGGGTATTACGACTCAATCTTACAGCTGTGTAGCTGTGTGTGTGTACACACACACACACTCTATAGAGACCATGCTGTTGCTTTCAGAGAACCTTCAGCTAAAAGGTTAACAGTATTATGTTATAATAAGGAAAAGGGAACCCTGACCTTTAGGTCCAGTCGTGGCCGACTCTGGGGTTGGGGCGCTCATCTCGCTTTATTGGCCGAGGGAGCCGGCGTACAGCTTCCGGATCATGTGGCCAGCATGACTAAGCCGCTTCTGGCGAACCAGAGCAGCGCACGGAAACGCCGTTTACCTTCCTGCTGGAGCGGTACCTATTTATCTACTTGCACTTCGACGTGCTTTCGAATTGCTAGGTGGGCAGGAGCAGGGACTGAGCAACGGGAGCTCACCCCATTGCGGGGATTCGAACTGCCGACCTTCTGATTGGCAAGTCCTAGGCTCTGTGGCTTAACCCACAGCGCCACTCGCATCCCCTATCCTTTGAGCAGACCCACTCAAATTAATGGAGATGACTAAATTAAGACCATAAATTTAAGTGGATCGACTCGTGAGTAGAATGTAGGTGGGTACAACCCTTATTCGCCAGCATCTCGAGGTAGGGGTGGGAGACCCATGGCCAATCAGCATAGACAGTACTGAGCCAGCTGGACCAATGGTCTGACTCGATACAAGGCAGCTTCCTATGTTCTGTAAAACCCACCTCGTTCCATGATTCACGCTGCTGAACCTTTCCATCTCGTCTTCGCAGGGGACAGAGCAGAAGGGGCAGAGAACAAGGCGCTTGACAAAGCAAACAAGAACCGGAACAGCCACTCCTCTTCCAGTGGCCCTACGTTGGACAACCGGATGAAGCAGCTGTCTCTCCAATGCCTGAAAGTCAAAGATGGGATCTGCGCAGACAGAAAAGTAGTACAAATCGGCTGAGGTTGACGTCCCCTCGGAGCGAAGGAGGAAGCTATCGATTAATTTATACAAACTTCTCTTCTGCCTGCCAGAAGAACCTTGTGCCAATAACTATTTAATACATGCCAAATCTTTTAAGCATTTACTCTTTAGGAAACTGCACTGAGAGTTCCATCGGCGTTGAGGGCTGAGGTATGCGTTTCGGCATTTTTATTTTAGAAATGCAAGCAAAATCTTTCGCCGTGACGGAAACCGGTCACAAACATCCGCTGTGCTTGTCGGACTTCGCAGCCTTTGCAAGACACTCTGGTAGCAGTTTTGGCAGAAGCAATAACTAGTTGCGTTCCGCGTATGGAGTTCTGTGCCAGTCGGGAAACGGAAGACCGAACCAAACATTTAGGAGGAGCAGCCAGTGTCCATTTTGTAGGCAATGCCCGTTTTTTGAGCCGAGCTGCTGTTTAGACCAGCGGCCTAGCCTTCTACTTTAAACATCTATATTTATATTTTGGATTATAAAAGGATACTGTTGCATGTGACCGAGTCTAGAAACCTTCCCTGCGTCTCTAGACCTCATATACAATTAAAAAGTATACCTCAAGGGTAACATAAATATGTTGTTAATATTGATGCACAGGCCCTTTCTTAGTGTACCATGTTTCGGAGATGTCCCAATTATTACGGATCCAGTAAGAAAAATGAAATGTACATCGGAGCTGTTACAGACGACTTTCTCTGGTATGGCTGGTGTCTGTTGCTAGGTAGGAGCAGGAAAATATTATTTTTACACCTTGGGCCTACCAAGCTGGAAGGGGGAGTTTTCCTGCATGAACAGATGGTCTATTTGCCAGTTAGGGGTTTAAGGGGATGAGTGAGTACTTCTAAATATCGCTGTAGGTTGTCATGTTATAGGGTTTGTAGAGTAATTAAAGGACTTATAAATTTAGCATCCCTCGAGGGAAAAGAAGTCGAGTAAGATTGGGAAGGGTGTCAAAGCATGTTCAGCGACAGCTGTTACGCAGTAGAGATGTCGGGTAGTTATGCTAATAAGAGGTAGTTAAAATCATAGGACTTTTGTTTTGGTAGTTAGCATTTCTGAAACTGACATATGCCATTGCTAATAAAACTTACTCGTTTCCTTGGCTGCCCAGTCCTCAGATTTTCTGTTCCTTAGCTTAGTTCTGTTGTGTTTTTTTGTCCCCAACTACAGTTTCGTGTAGCTATTCTGAAAACAAATGTACAGTATATATATATACCCTTCGCACTACAGTGAATGTTCCTTTCACTCTTCACTTTTGTTTTCATGTGCAGTATGGTTCTGTTGAAAGTGCTTAAAATTCTTTTAGGGAAGCCTTTACAAATTTGTTCCCCTCAATATACAGACAACTTCCATTTGTGCGTTTGGCTTATGTTTCGACTGAGGAAATGAACTCTGTGAGTGCCAAATGGAACGGTCAATAATAAAGCGAAAACTAAACAGTTGTCGTGTGTGTTTCTTTTTTCTCTGATGCACGGCAAGATTCAAGCTTGGAAGTCAGAGCGAAGGGTACAATTGTTCGTCCCATTTGTGGCACAGTGATAAATAGTAAAAAGAACACCACCAAAAGCTCTGGATTTAATATTATTGTGTGCACCGTAGACTCTTCCCTTGAGCACCCAAGTTGCAGGATTAAAAAGCATTTCAGCCATTTAAAAATAAATATATATCCCAGACAGTCCCCTGGCCTCAGGCTCACTATGTTAAAGAGACATGACACAAAAGGAAAAGCGGTTAGGAGGGAGGAAATAAAAAACAAGCTCAGCCACAAATGCTTCATCACACAAATGCTGTCAATGGAAAAAAGTGACAAGTGTGATGCTGTAGGATTCTGTCCTGGGCCCGTCATTGTTCAACATCTAAAAAATGACTTGGATGAAGGAATGGAGTGGACGCTCCTCAAAGTCACAGAGAACACCAAACTAGCTAATGATGTAGAGAAGGCTTCCTCAACCCTGGGCCTCCAGATGTTTTTGGCCTACAACTCCCATGATCCCTAGCTAGCAGGACCAGTGGACAGGAATGATGGTAACTGTAGTCTCAAAACATCTGGAGGCCCAAGGTTGAGGAAGCCTGTAAGACAAAATCTGAATTCAAAATGACAATGGGTTGGAGAACTGGGCCCAAGCTAACAAAATGAATTTCAACAGCGACAAATGTCAGGTTCTGCACTTGGGGAGGAAAAACCAGAGGCACAAATGTAAGATGGGAAATACCTGGCTTAATAGCAGTACATGTACAAAAATCATGCATTGCCATAAACAAAGGATGAATTCTTGTTAAGTCCCTGTGCATATAAATCCCCATCATATGTGTACCTATATGTACACACAACAAACTCCATATAGAATCCATTTTTTGGTACTTACATAGAATATTCTTGCATGTAGTCCTCTAAAGAGTCAATTAAATCTGTTGCCTTCTGTCTTTTTATTACTGACTTGTTTGCAGTCAGGGCTACATCTGTAACTTTCATCTTACTAATTGCCTTGCAAAGCAGTTAAGCGGAGTTCCTGATAAGTGCACAGCGTGTTTCAATTCCCCCTAGCCTAGCTGGTCGCTCACAGAACAGCAATTACAAGGCACCCGATTTTGATTTCCTTTTCAAAGGGAGCTACCAGTTGAGATAACAGCAAAAGCAACATCATCCTGTTGAGTCGCTTGATAACAGGGAAGGAGCTGCCTTGCGTGGGCATTCATTTTCTTGAGAAAAGCAAAAGTTTTTTTTAAAAAAAAATTCAGGCAGATTTAGCTGAAAACAAACTAGGGAAATGGATTTTTAAGTCGCGAATTGGGGAGAAATAAGCAAGGCTTGCTCCAGCCCCTTCTCCCTTTGGCCTGAAGCTGCTATTTCTCCATTGGGAATGCCAAGAGTCTTTCACAAATTGAACTTACCAATAACAAAAGAGAGCCTCGTCCTCTGTGCTGTAGATGGGATGGAGAACCTGCAGCCCTGCAAATGGGTGGTGGGACCACAACACCCACCGTCCCAGACATGGTGACTAGGGCTGATGGGCGTTGGGTGCCCAGCACTATAGAAGAGCACAGTTCCCAGCCCTGCTTTAAAGAGAAATGGGTACATCTCCAAAGCCCTACATTTAAGGGGGAAATCAGCTAAAGCTGGGTGGATTTGATTCAAATCAAATCGATTTAAATCACTAGTCAGTAAGACCTGATTTAAATCATTTTTACAGAAAGACTCATTCTTGCTGGTATAATCTTAATATTTACAACCAGCTGAAGGTTTCATTTTTGGAACAATAAATTTTCAGAGTAGTTTTTACAGTTATATCAAAAATTATACTGATTTGGTTAGACTATTAGAAATACACAGACAGGTAATTATGAAATGTAATTGTTTATATTTGGACAACTTTTCTGCTGTACTCTATTGGAAGTAGAAAAATAATCATTTCCTTAACAATTTATTTAACTAAGACAATAACACTATAGCATATGTATCCGTATTTGTTAACTGATGTGGTTAAACAATTAAAAACCAAAAACCTTAGACTGAGTTTAACACACATGAAAAACTTAAATCCTTATTTCCTGATGAATAGCCTTTGGACTATAATGTAACTTAAATAGAAAACTATCTTTAGAAAGATTTTTCCTCCAAAAGCATTTTATTTTAAAAGTCCGATTAAAAAATAAATCGATTTTTATCCACCCAGAGCTAAAGCGAGGGTTAGCTCTACCAACAGCTATTTCAGGCAGGGGTTTCTCCTAGTCCTCATGGCAGGATATTATTATTAATAATAATATTATCATAATGTTATTATCATTATTAGTTCCAAAACATCTGGAGGGCCACAGGTTCTCACCCTTGCAGCAAAGAGCCAAGGAAGTATTTCAACATGTACAGCCATCTCTGATTCAAGACAGATACGACCTGAGCTTGTTCATCGGTGTATTTGGAAAAATCAAAGCTATAAGGAGGGGAGTTGGTGGGAAACAGACATTTTAAAGCCCAAAAGTGATGAAAATATTCTTAGAAGCAAAGCCATGCAAAAAGCAAGGACATTTTAGACAAACAAGCAATTCCCTTGGCCTGCCCTCCAGTTGGCCACTTCTAGGCTAAGAGAGGAGACCAGGTTTCCGCTCTGCTTTAAGAGATCCCTATGGACAAGGAACATCTGACCTTATAAAAGTGCATACGTGGTAGAAACTTGCAGGTGTTCAAAATCAATCCACAGCATTGGTTGCCTGTTCCAACTTTAGGGTGCAATTCCCTTTGAGAAAGTCCAGATTTGTTTTGCACAGCCCATGTAAACATTTCCCCCCCTTAGGTAGGTTCTTTCGATTGCCCTCCAGCGTTTAAAGAGTCTCAATCATAGAGATGGGTGACTTCATTGCAGCTGCGATGTCTTAAGAGGGGTAACGCTATTAAAGTCCAAAAAGAAAGGTCCTTCCTGCTGAGGGAGGAAAGTGCTTGGGATAATATTGTAAATGCCAGCAGGGACACATTCGAGTTCCAGGTAGCAAAACCCGCATCTTGGAGGGAGAAAAAGAGAAAAAAGGGGCAAACTTAGGACGAGATCTAGCACGATGCAAATCCAGAAAGATGTGTCGCCAGACGAGGCGTTACCTGTAATCGCCACTGTTTTTCTTCTGAAAGCCTTGCTCTCCCACTGCAGAGACGGTCACCACTTCAAAGCCAACACTGTATTGCCTGCAAAAACCAAATCGGAAGTTGTGATTGCCTTTTAGACACAGTGATCCTTGGCAAGGGCAGTGCTTTTTTCTGGGGGGGACGCAGGGGTACGCATATCCCTAAACATTTTGTGAATCTTTGTAGTTTTGTCCATTTACTGTATTTATTTCCCCCGATTTGAAATATAAAAGGGTGATTTTCTGGAGTCAAAATTAAAGTACCACTAAACATTTTTTTTAGGGGGGAAAAAAGCACTGGACAACGGTATTTATGGACACCAAAATTACAGTGGTACCTCGGGTTAAGTACTTAATTTGTTCCGGAGGTCCGTTCTTAACCTGAAACTGTTCTTAACCTGAAGCACCACTTTAGCTAATGGGGCCTCCTGCTGCTGCCATGCCGCCAGAGCACGATTTCTGTTCTCATCCTGAAGCAAAGTTCTTAACCCGAGGTACTATTTCTGGGTTAGCGGAGTCTGTAACCTGAAGCGTATGTAACCCGAGGTACCACTGTATAGGATTTGGAACTAAGCACATAACTCAGCATTCTTAGAACAAGTAATTAAAAGAAGGAATTTTCTGAAACGTGTGTCCTTTCAAATGTGTGTGTGTGGGAGGGGGGGTTATTGTTTTGTTTTGATTATGTACTCTCATTTTATTCTGTATTTTTATGCTGTGAACCACCCTAAGATCTTTGGATGAAGGGTGGTATACATATGTATTATTATTATTACCGTACTATCTATCTATCTATCTATCTATCTATCTATCTATCTATTTATTTTATTAATTGCAGCAATTGCTGGTTAGATTCCCCATAAATGAACAAAAACAAATGGAGTTTATAACACTGGACAAATGACTGAGTTTGGCCAACAAACAACGTTTGCATTGCACTGCACTAACTTTGCAGCTCCACTCCTTCAAACCTGCACAAACCTTGGTCCTCGTAGCTCAATGAGGAGGGGGCCGGCCTTGTCCAACTGGAACTGGTAAATAGGATTGTTCTTGGCGGTCTCTCTGAAATTCCCACACCCGCCAGCGCTTTGGCCTTTCCACTGCCCATTTACCTAAGCGAAAGAAAATTCAAGAGGTTCTTAAGCAGCACATACTATTGAGAACAAAAACAAATGATTAATTAATCCTAGTTCCAGTTTAACTTCCCTTCTGGTTGACGTCCAACGCTTTACCTAGAACTTCAATCTCAAAGTTGCTCAAGCTTACACTGGAACAAGGCAAAGGTTTTACATCGGCTCCTTGACTTAATTGCTATGTCCTTTTATGGGAAATGAGAAAATGGTCCTGCTAAAGTCTTCCTTTGTTGCAGGATTTAGACTCAAGTGTCAAGTGCCTGTTAGGCACACATTTCTTGCCAAGCCTTCAACTGCTTGTATTCTTTTAAGATGGGGACTGCCCAGGATCAATAGATTTTGGCAGCTGGAAGCGTATTTAATATGTTTCAAAAAGAGGGGAGCCTTATGCCTTAGAGCCATTTGAGTTGGTTTGGTTATAGCTGCATTTGCCATATTTTTTGCTCCATAAGACGCACTTTTTCCCTCCTAAAAAGTAAGGGGAAATGTGTGAGCGTCTTATGGGGCGAATGCAAGGGGGAGGCAGGCAGGAAAAGCCCCCAAGAGCCGCACACAAGCTCCGCGCGGCTCTTGCGGGACTCTTCCCAGGAGGGAGAAGGGACTGATGTGGCCAGTCAGTCCCTTCTCCCTCCTCGTAGAAAAGCCCACAGGATCTGCGCGCTCCTTAAAGGGTGCACGGCTTTTGTGGGAGGTGGGGGAATTGCCATAGCCGTGCGCAGCCTCTCCCGGCCAGAGAGGTTGCGCACGGCTAAAGAGGAAGCCAAGACAGCCAGCGGGATGGATCCTGCTCGCTGTATTGGCTTCTTAGCTCTTTGGGGCTGGGGGGGGGGGGGACCTGGGCTTCCCCCAGCAGCCCTGAGCAGCTCTGGGAAAAGCGGACAGGCTGAGTACAGCCTGTCCACTGCTCTTTGGGGCGGGGGGGGGGGGAGAATAATATTTTTTTTCTTGATTTCCCCCTCTAAAAACTAGGTGTGCCTTATGGTCCGGTGCGCCTTATGGAGCAAAAAATACAGTAAGTAAATACATCACTAAATAGGCTCACTACAATGAGCGTTTAGCACAATTTTGGTTTTTCTGTCACACAGCCAAGGGTTAAACCCAGCAAGGATATATCTTATTTCGATCTACCCAACAGATGACCATAGAGATTGCAATTCTTTCTTACCCGTTTGGATATGGTATACGGTGTCGGGATCTTGCAGAAGTTAAACTTGCACACTGAATACACCTGAGTTGACAAAGAAATGGAAAAGATTCACACAGAACGATACACACGCTGTGAAACTAAAAAGAAGCAGCGGACAACGGCTAGGGAAACGCACAAGGCCAAGATGCTCTTGGGCTCCTGTTCTGGTTTCCCACAGGAATCTGGTTGGTCAGTGTGAGAACAAGATGAGCCATTGGGATGATCCTGCAATGTCTCCTTACGTTCTTAGCAGAACCTAATTGGTTTGTTTTCTCTTACAGAAAAACCCACACACGTAAATGCAGATTTTTGCAAGGTGTGAAGTAGGGCTGGGTGATATATCGTTCAAAACCGGTTTGAATCCCATATTGTGATACCAGTTTTATAATTTTTGACCTGCCGAGATATCACAAATCATGGTGTGTGTGTTATGCAAAAATCACAATGTGGGAGGAACCATGAAGCCAGCCAATACTTCTCTTGATTCCTGCAGCTCCTGTTAACTTTGCTGGCTCAGCTCTCCCCCGCCTCTTGCAGGGGGCAGCGAATCACCAGAGCAGGCGCCGGCAAAAATCAAGATGCAGGAACAACTGTGAAGCCAGCCAATGCCTCTACATAGCTCCATCCTTATTTCAGACATCGTGATATATCACGATGTTTAGCTGGTGATATATCTTGATGTTGAAAACCAGATATCGCCCAGCCCTAATGTGAGCCCTTGTAAGAGAAATGTAATTATACAACTTGTCCAATATGCGAGGAGCAGAAAGCATCTTTGTTATTGCTTCAGGGTTGACTGGCGGAGGTAAAAGAAAGACTTGCTGTTTCCCCGAGAAGCTGAACTGGCTGGCCCAGAACATTCAAGAGAGAGAATATCCAGAAAAGAATCGGCTACGTTTGATCAATCGTCATCACATCACAACTCGACTTGGCCAGGAAGGAACTGCGTCTGGGATAAGGGCCCTCAACAATGTGCCACAAGTTTCCCCAGGATCACACATAATCTAGTAAAGGTAAAGGTAAAGGTACCCCTGCCCATACGGGCCAGTCGTGTCCGACTCTAGGGTTGTGTGCTCATCTCACTTAAGAGGCCGGGGGCCAGCGCTGTCCGGAGACACTTCCGGGTCACGTGGCCAGCGTGACGAAGCTGCTCTGGTGAGCTGGCACCAGCACAGCACACGGAAACGCCGTTTACCTTCCCGCTATAAAGCGGTCCCTATTTATCTACTTGCACTTAAGGGTGCTTTCGAACTGCTAGGTGGGCAGGAGCTGGGACCGAACGACGGGAGCTCACCCCGCCGTGGGGATTCGAACCGCCGACCATGCGATCGGCAAATCCTAGGCACTGAGGTTTTACCCACAGCGCCACCCGCGTCCCTACACATAATCTAGGGATGCGATATATCTGAATATTCTCTTGTTTGACATTTTTGGCTTCTCTCAAAATTCTTTTGTTGTCACACCCAAGAGAGAATCTGCAAATTCACTTGGGGTTTTGCTTTAGGCAGAAGCCCAGTGCTCACGCTCATAGGAACCAACTCCTAGGGCAGCCTTTCTCAACCTGTGGGTTCCCAGATGTTGTTGAACTACAACTCCCATCACCCCTAGCTAGCAAGGCCAGAGCTCAGGGATGATGGGAATTGTAGTCCAACAATATCTGGGGACCCACAGGTTGAGAACCGCTGTCCTAGGGGCAAAGGTCTCTTCGCCTTCTCCCCATAAAATATGTGTGTGATCTGGCCCCCCTCCCCTCAAAAAAGTTGATGGGCGCTGCCATTCAAATGGTGTGTGTATGCTGTGTCATGTGAGTGATTATGTGGGGCAGGGCATACCTGAATCCCCCCCCCTTTTTTTCCTAGTTGGCACCCCTGGTCACTCTGATCTGCTCTAAGGAAAGCTGGTGACTGTACACGTAAAAGTTATCACATGGTGACTATACAGTTGTACCTTGGAAGTCAAATGGAATCCGTTCAGGAAGTCTGTTTGACTTCCAAAACGTTCGGAAGCTGTGGAGGACGTTTGGGTTCCAAAGAACGTTCGCAAACCGGAACACTCACTTCCGGGTTTGCGGCCTTTGGGAGCCAAAACATTTGATCCGCAAGGCATTCAACTTCCAAGGTATGACTGTACAGTGGTACCTCGGGTTAAGTACTTAATTCGTTCCGGAGGTCTGTACTTAACCTGAAACTGTTCTTAACCTGAAGCACCCCTTTAGCTAATGGGGCCTCCTGCTGCTGCTGCGCCACCGGAGCACGATTTCTGTTCTCAACCTGAAGCAAAGTTCTTAACCTGAAGCACTATTTCTGGGTTAGCGGAGTATGTAACCTGAAGCGTATGTGACCTGAAGCGTATGTAACCTGAGGTACCACTGTATTTGGCAGCTGTCATCACAGCAATGAGATTTCCTCTGTGCCTCCACCAATGATCATCATTAAAAGGACCCCATTATTAAAAGGAATGAGACGCCTTTTTGTTAAAGCTGTTTAACATCGTTGTCGCGTTTCCCGCAATTTTGAATGAAACAAAAACAGCTCTACCATATAATCCCCGTAAGCCGGGCTAAAAATAACCACTTGCCTGCTCCCCTGTAGAAAGAATTGCCTCGGAGCCGACTCCCGCTGCCCTGCCCGACTCTGAAAAGAGCTGATGGTGGGGATGACCAGCGTCTTAAAATACTTCTTTCGCAAGGCTGCCTATAAACACATACCCTGAGCGTGTAGTGAATCGTGTTCTGCTTTTCGTACTGAGAAACCACCAGAGTAAATGTATGGGTTCCCGGGGAAGTCAGCTTGATCTTGGTGAGATAGTGGGGGCTGTTGATTCGAATCCCATCGATATACGGAGGAGGGTCGGCTGAAAAGGAAAGATTTATGCACGTGATGACAGTGGCGAGGCTTCTCCATGCACAGAAATGGAAGGAGAGGAAACCCTCCAAGGAAAAATGGCTGGTCTTGGAATACGCTGAGACGGCGAAAGTGACGGCACTGATAAGAGACACAAATTTAGAATCCTTTCAAGAAGACCTTTCTAGTCTATTTCAAAAGTTGTTTCCCATATGCGGAGACCACAGCGGGGTTTGAAGTGTGAGAAATAGATTAAGAAACATGTTGGAGAGGATGAAAATTGGTAAGACGGAACCTTAAAATGCAATTGTAATTTGGGTTATAAGCATTGATGTTGGGTAAGCGGGAAGTCACTAGTTTTGTTAAATTGGAATATAACTGTTGAGTAACAAATGTAACTTTCAGTATAGAAAAAGAATACATCATCATCATCATTATTATTAAAAAATTGTATAAGCCACCCATAAAAAAGAAAGAAAGAGGTTTATAGATTTAGGTTTGATATATGCATTTTTGAAAGGGAAAGGAATCTTTTGGCTCTCTAGATGTTTTTTAAAATATATATCTTTATATACCCCGCCCATCTGGCTGAGTTTCCCCAGCCACTCTGGGTGGCTCCCAACAGAATAATAAAAACATGGTAAAACATAAAACATATAAAAATTCCCTAAACATGGCTGCCTTCAGATGTCTTCTAAAAGTTAGATAGTTGTTTATTTCCTTGACATCTGATGGGAGGGCATTCCACAGGGCGGGCGCCACTACTAAGAAGGCCCTCTGCCTGGTTCCCTGCAACCTCACTTCTTGCAAGGGAGGGAACTGCCAGAAGGCCCTCGGAGCTGGACCTCAGTGTCTGGGCTGAATGGACTCCCATCATCTTCGGTCATCATGAGGGGACGTAAGATGTAGTAAAAATAAAAGATCTGGAGGGCCTCAGGTTCTCCATCCTTGGAGAAGAAGGTAAAGGTAAAGGGACCCCTGACCATTAGGTCCAGTCGTGGCCGACTCTGGGGTTGCGGCGCTCATCTCGCTTTACTGGCCGAGGGAGCCGGCGTACAGCTTCCGGGTCATGTGGCCACCATGACTAAACCGCTTCTGGCGAACCAGAGCAGCGCACGGAAACGCCGTTTACCTTCCCGCCGGAGTGGTACCTATTTATCTACTTGCACTTTGACGTGCTTTCGAACTGCTAGGTGGGCAGGAGCAGGGACCGAGCAACGGGAGCTCACCCATTGTGGGGATTCGAACTGCTGACCTTCTGATCGGCAAGTCCTAAGCTCTGTGGTTTAACCCACAGCGCCACCCGCAGCCCTCCCATCTGGAGGGCCTCAGGTTCCCCACCCTTGGAGAAGATGGAGATTCTTGAGGTAGAATTTAGCATTTCTAGAGGATGCTGATGGCAAAGTAACAGATGTCAGAAACAAGAAGAGGCACAGCTGGACATCAACAAGACCTAATTTAGTGGTCAGTTGCAGAGTCGCCGGACCCTTCTCAGGCTGTCAAATTAGACACCCACAGAATTCGGTCAATAAACGTCTGAGAAAGGGTTACATACACTCTGCTTCAGCAATGAGCTTCTCAATCATATGTCCTCCTTGACAAAGGAAATCTTTTAATATTATTTTGGAAGCTTTGTATTCATAGGTTGTAGGGTGGAGCTGGAAAAGGAGGATTATTAACACACCTACCAGGATAGTAAACTTTTTTCCCATCTGTTTTGTATACCACCATTGTGATGAACTCCCGGTTGTGAGCAAAGTCATCCTGCAAAAGCAAAGACCAAAATTATTATTAATTGAATTTATATACTGCCCTATACCCGGAGGTCTCAGGGCGGTTCACAAAAAAGATCAGAATATATAAAATTAAAATAAAATAACCCAATAATAACCCCCCATCGATCATGTCATCGTTTATGTATTATTCTTATTATCCATCTGTTATTTTCGTTGGTTAGCCTTAGTAACCCTCCCACCCACCTACATTCTGCTTCTGTTTATTACATTTCTATACCGCCCTTCACCTGGCAGATCTCAGGCCGGTTCACAGCATAAAAACACAAAAGACACAATGAGAATGAGAATAAAACCAACCGCCCCCCTTCCCTTAGGTAGACTGCCTCTGACCGGGGAGGCTCCCTCTCTCGCTCATTCTGACACGACTCAACAGACCTTCAGTTTCTGAGCAGCACAATTCACACCTGCACATAACAGGGTTTAAGAGAATGCAAAGGTAAAAATGCTTGGCTCCAAAAGGAACAGACCCCCAAATCTGGTAGAGGCTGACTGGAACGAGGGAAGCTTATGGCAGTCGGTCACACAGAAACACAGGTGGCAGCTCTTGCGTGGGTGGAAGACTCACAGGAACCCTTTAGTTGCATTTCCCGCTGCAAAAACTTTAGCACACTAACAATGCACTCTAGTACACAGTTTTGGAGGTACAGATGTGCCAGCAGTTTGGTTGCGAGATCTGGTGCTGAACACACTGCTCTAGTTAACGCAAACGTAGCCTATCTCTTACAAAATCTATACAGTGGTACCTTGGTTCTTGAACTTCATCTGTTCCGGGAGTCCATTTGACTCCCAAAACGGTTTGAAAACCAAGGCACGGCTTCCGATTGGCTGCAGGAGCTTTCTGCACTCAAGCGGAAGCCGCGCCGGATGTTCGGCTTCCGGAAAATGTTTGCAAACCAGAACACCTACTTCCGGGCTTTTGGCGTTCAGGAACCAAAACGTACACATACCAAGGCATTCAAAAACCAAGGTATGACTGTATACCACGTACCGTATTTTCCCATCTATAAGATGCCCTCATGTATAAGATGCCCCCTATTTTGGGGGAGTCAGATTTAAGAAAATAGAGGGATGTATCCGTGTATAAGACGCCCCCAAATTTTCTACATTATTTTTAAGGAAAAAAACCTAGTCTTATACAGGGGGAAATGTGGTAATTGTACCAAAACCTCTAAGCGGCTTGCAAGAAAGGTCTATGAAATATGCTTGACAAAAGTTAAAAAGGTAACCGTGTCGGCCGACAACAACAAATCCGAATCCACATTAGGAATAGGGCCAGTCAAAATGTTACAAAACAGAAAGAGGATTTCCAATTTCCCCCGCCTTGTGTTTTTGACATCTGCTGTGATGAAAGAATTCTGGGAGACCCGAAAACTTGTACGCTGTTTCATAACATTCTGCTTGGCCCGGTAAGGGAATCACACTCGTGTGGGTTTGCATTTTATTTGAAATAACGGGTGGCTTTAATCCTCCTCTTGCTAGCTCAAATACCGGAAGAAGCGGCGGCATTTCAGGGCCCAGTCCCTCATTCATACCAAGGTTCAAACATTCATGCCAATGGTAAAGGTAAAGGTAAAGGTAAAGGTACCCCTGACCATTAGGTCCAGTCGTGACCAACTCTGGGGTTGCGGCGCTCATCTTGCTTTATGGGCCGAGGGAGCCAGCGTACAGCTTCTGGGTCATGTGGCCAGCATGACTAAGCCGCTTCTGGCAAACCAGAGCAGCGCACGGAAACACCATTTACCTTCCCACCAGAGCGGTACCTATTTATCTACTTGCACTGGTATGCTTTAGAACTGCTAGGTTGGCAGGAGCAGGGACCAAGCAACGGGAGCTCACCCCGTTGCGGGGATTCGAACTGCCGACCTTCTGATCGGCAAGCCCTAGGATCAGTGATTTAGACCACAGCGCCACCTGCTTCCCCATGCCAAGGGTACCTTGTCCGTAATGTGTCTGCTGAGCAGGATCCAAACTGCAGCCCCACCTTGTGGGCACTGAACCTCCAGTTTGTACTGTGGGTTGTTAGCTAGGCTGTATGCATCTTTCACAGGGCCCTGTTTTGCATCCCAGGTACTAAAAATAGAAAAAGAAAATATTTTATTAGAAATAATTTATGATGAATTGGAAAAAAAAAGTTTTAAAAGCACCTTTCCCCCCCAAAAAACCAGAGTCCTTTTTCTTGGGGATAATTCAGATGGAAATTCCCAGGTGTCAAAAAAGGTTATTGATGTATGCCACTACTGTGGCCCGTGTTTCGTTAGCCTAAAAATGGAAAATGAGTGAGGTCCCAACCAAAGACAAATGGCAACTTAAATTGATGGAATATGCTTAGCTTGCAGATTTAACATACAGAATGAGAAAACAAGAAGAACATATGTTCAGAGAAGACTGGAAAACGTTTACTGAATGTATGAGGGAAAATTGTGCACGCTTGAAAATGTTGGCAGCATTAAGATAAATTCAACAGTGTAAATAAGTTTTGATGGAAGTAATAATGCAGGGATTTATGTTATGCAAAATTAACCATGGAAAGAGAAGAAGGGAAGTCATTGATATTTTAAGGTTGTCCAAATGAATATTCTAAACTATAAAAGAGAAAATTTATATATATATATATGAGAATTGTAAAACAGTGTGTGTGTGTGTGTGTGTGTGTATATATATATGTACGTACGTATGTATATATATATATATATATGTGTGTGTGTGTGTGTGTGTGTATATATATATATATATATATATATATATATATATTTATATGTGCATATATATGTGTGTGTGTGTGTATATATGAGATAACTTGAGCACCAAGCAGCAAAAAACAAACCCCAAACATGAGAGATAAACACAAACTCCCTCTCTCAAACACGTCACTGTTTCGTTTATAGGAATTGCAATTCATTCATACAAAACTTGACTACCCTTTAAGAGGACATATTTTGGCTATCACTCCTTTTATGCTAGCAATGATCTCAACAGGAAGTACAAAATATTATTTGGTGCAATCCTTCCAAGGAACAAAGCAAACAGCTGTTGAAATGCAAGCCTGAAACTTACGAATGCTCAAGAGGAAATGCGGCGTGGCGTGTGAGAATATTCAAATTCTGCATGCTGAATGCTCCCAAACATTTAAGCTACAGTGCCCAAGTTGTACCTACATAATAAAAAATGCTTTCTTCTGGATTCTCCGATCTTGCAGCTTCCTTGGATGGCCCTGGATTCTAGTTTCATGAAGTAGTTTTTCTCCTGTCTACTTTTTCCATAAAGGTAACGGTAAAATAGACTGACCATTAGGTCCAGTCGTGGCCGACTCTGGGGTTGCGGCGCTCATCTCGCTTTATTGGCCGAGGGAGCCGGCGTACAGCTTCCGGGTCATGTGGCCAGCATGACTAAGCCGCTTCTGGCGAACCAGAGCAGCGCATGGAAACGCCATTTACCTTCACGCCGGAGTGATACCTATTTATCTACTTGCACTTTGACATGCTTTCGAACTGCTACATTGGCAGGAGCAGGGACTGAGCAACGGGAGCTCATCCCGTCATGGGGATTCGAACCGCCAACCTTCTGATCGGCAAGCCCAAGAGGCTCAGTGGTGACCACAGCGCCACCCGCGTCCATACCAGGGCATAATTTTATGCATCTTCACCACGTCCCCCTTACTGTTTTTCTAAATTAGGAAGCCTCAAATATTGTACCGTTCCCTCACAAGGGAAGTTGGGAGCTGGGATTGGTCCAGGACAGCTGTATAGAAGTAAACTTGCAACTTGCAACCTTTTCCGTTGGACAAACCTGTGAATGCATGTTGATTCTTTAAAAAGACTCGGGTTCCAGCTCAAGTATATAACATCGTAATACTTGCACAGATCTTCCCAGGCAATCCAGAAAATCCCTAAAAGAAAGGAAAAGATCTAGTCAAAAAACATGCTATATTTTCCTCAAAAAGCCGTTTAACATAATGACAGGAGTCAATGAAAATATAGTCATAACTTGGAAGTCGAACAGAATCCGTTCTGGAAGTCCGTTCGACTTCCAAAACATTCGGAAACCAAAGTGCAGCTTCTGATTGGCTGCTTGGGGCTTTAACGGTCAGCACCAACACTTTGAATTCTGCATGAAAATGTACTGGGAGCCAATGTAGGTCTTTCAGGACCGGTGTTATGTGGTTACTGAATAGGATTGATTGCCAGCTGTTGAACTGGGCTGACCTCGGTCTCTGTCCCTTTAATCATCCTCTCCCCGCACCCTGCAATAAGCAGAACAGTCTCTGCTTAGCTCCTTGCACTGAGAAGTGGCAGCCTCACCATCAGGGCAGGACTTGGAGGAAGAGATCTAGGGACCTACTCAGCAGAACGGCTGACAGCCAAACACCACAGGCTGAAAGACCACCAAGTCCAGAGTCTAAAAGGACCCAAGCAATTTCTACATATCAAACCTCTGATCAGAAAATGGGAGCAAGCAAAGCCAGGCTTTTGTTGTTGTTGCTGCTGCTGCTGCTGCTGCTGCTTCCTTCCTCTCTCTCTCTCTCTCTCTCTCTCTCTCCACTTGGTAATGATCTTGTGGTTTATTATCTTCCTCTTTCTTTGCTCATCCTAACCCTGAGCTTCCAGAAAGGCCCACAGCAGACCTCTCTCCCTTTGCAGCCAAGCTGCAGATGTGCACACAGCCGATTGTGAAGTCACAAGCTGCCCCAGAATGATGGTGGCTTCGGGTGCTAGGAAACAGCTAGATGGCTTCAGGGTGGCAGAAGCAGCGTGTGTGCAAGAAGCGCCTCCGCCGACCTTGGCAACTCAGTCAAGGGCAAGCCTGGACGCTGGAGGAGCAGCTGCTGGAGCTGCTTTGTGCGTTTCAGTCGCCGCAGCTCAGTCCGAGAGCGGAAGGCTCTGCCTGGGTGCTGGTGGTTTTCAAAGGCCCCTCAACACACTCAGCATGTGTAAGAATAAACCCCGTTAGCCGGTGTGCCATTAATAGGCAGCAGCGCAGTGAGCTAACCTTGATATGTCGCCACCGGCTCCCTCCTTAAATCGGCGTTTAAATCCCACAGAGAGAGAGGAAAGCCAATGTCTGATCAGCGTTAGCTCTGAATTGAGTAACGAGGGTTGTTGCAGACGGGGATGAGAGCAGCAATCAGTGCTTTTTTTCTGGGGGGACGCATACCCCTAAACATTTGGTGAATATTTGTATTTTTGTCCATTTACTGTGTTTATTTTCCTGATTTGAACTATAAAATGGTGATTTTCTGGAGTCAAAATGGGAGCACCCCTAAACGTTTTTAAAGAAAAAAAGCACAGGCAGCAATAATCAAAATCTAATATGTGCCTATAGCAGTGTTAGAAATTAGCCAGGCGCCAGGCACATTTTGCACCTGGCTATTGGCCACTGGCAACCAAGTGAAGATGCCTGGGAGCCAGGATGGGGCCAGACATCTCCACCATCTCGAGGTGCCTGCCTGGGAGCTGGACTGTTTTCACCCACTATTACCACGTCCTGTAGAATTTCGGGAACCAAAATGCTTTGTTCTGTGCAGCCTTAATTGTTGCAACTTGGTCACAACCATGTTATTTTTTCATAAATACAAAACATCCATTTCACAGAGAGAACAATTATAACAGCAGGCGAAAATTCTTTTTCTTAATGCTGACATGGACCATTCATAGCGGAAGAATATTCTTCAAAACTGTGAGCCGTTCCGTCCTGTCATACAGAAATTCAGCATTCTGTGCCTACTGAACACAGCCCTCATGGGGCTGTTTCTGGGTCCCCCCCCCCCCTTTAGAGCTCCTCCATCTATTTCTGTACTTCTGCAAATCTTGGGTTTCCCCCCAGCCTACTAATACCTTCCTCGTGAGTACAGTAGTACCTCGGGTTACAGGCGCTTCAGGTTACAGACTCCGCTAACCCAGAAATAGTACCTCAGGTTAAGAACTTTGCTTCAGAATGAGAACAGAAATTGCGCTGCGGCAGCAGGAGGCCCCATTAGCTAAAGTGGTGCTTCAGGTTAAGAACAGTTTCAGGTTAAGAACGGACCTCCGGAACAAATTAAGTACGTAACCAGAGGTACCACTGTATGTGTGTGTGTATATGTGGTGCTGTTTTGACTACATAGGGACACTGCTAGGGCCGGATCACTGGGCACAGGTCGATGGGCTCACAGGCCCTGAGCCCCGCTAAATGACAGGGCCAAGATGGCTGGCAATTCCCACAAGAGCAGTGCTGCCGCAGTAATAGGGTGAAGAGCCAAACATTAGCCACTTTTAATTCTCCAAAATGTCTCTGGGTCCCACTTACCTCCAGAAGCATTCTGAGAAAGCAAAATGACTGTCTGGAGCTAATAATAATAATAATAATAATAATAATAATAATAATAATGTTGTTTCAGGGACTGCTAGGGCCACCTGGTACAGTTAAAGGGGTGGGGGAGTAAGGCTGGGTGATACCTGGTTTTCAACACTGTGATATATCACCAATTAAACATCACAATGTACTTATATATCATGATGTCTGAAATAAGGATGAAATAATGTAGAATAGGCATAGGCAAACTCGGCCCTCTAGATGTTTTGGGACTACAACTCCCATCATCACTAGCTAACAGGATCAGTGGTCAGGGATGATGGGAACTGTAGTCTCAAAACATCTGGAGGGCCAAGTTTGCCTATGCCTGATGTAGAGACATCTGCTGGCTTCACAGCCCCCCCTTGCGATTTTTGCATAGCACACACACATAGATATCATGATTTGCAATATATTGCCAGGTCAAAAATGATGAAACCAGTGTCACAATGTGGAATTCAAATCAGTTTGGGATGATATATCGTCCAACCCTAGTGAGGGGAGCCAGAGTGAAGCTGGCCAGACAAGCAATGGCGGGGAGGCCATGGCAGGGAAGACAAGAATCTTCTAATCTTTTTTTCAAAAATCAGAAGCTGCAGAAGCCCCGTCGGACGTTCGGCTTCCAAAAATAGTTCGCAAACTGAAACACTCACTTCCGTATTTGCAACCTTCGGGAGTCAAAACTGGCAAGGTGTTCGACTTCCAAGGTACGACTGTAAAAGCTAAAAGATCCTGCCAAGGTCTTTGACCTTGGACCTGATCCTTCTAGGAGCTGTGAAAATCAAGCCACCCCCCTACTCTCCCAACCCTACTCCCCCAAGCTCCAGTCCTGTTCCACTAGGGAGATTCTGGGGCAAATGAGCCATTTAAAATCTTGCTTGCTCAAACCTCCAAGTGTTTTGCTCCTTTACCGTTGTCTATTTTCTGGGCCGTTCTGGGATCGAAATTCAAGTATTTCTGAAGTTCCGGGGTCCAGTTCTTCATATCATTTTCACTATATCTTCCCTTCCAGCGGAGGTGGCTCCAGGGATTTTTCAGCTGGAGGAATCGAAGCCCCTAAACGAAGAAAAGAAAATAAGGAGTATCTGGCATTTTCCATTAGGTTGTACCACCCCACACCCCCAATGAATACAGGAAATCAAATGAGCTGAAAGTCTTAAAACAATCCGGATAAAGCTGATTTGGAAAAGATGTTCCATGGTTTCCTATTCTTCAGCTTTTAAGCAGCAAAAGAGGACGCAAGATTTTTAAAATATAAAAACCTGCCAATTTAAAGGAGGTATTGCCAAAAGCTCTGATGCATTTATTCCCACGGGTACCTTGTATTCTCTGATATCCAAAACAGCGTAGGCATGGGTTGGTACTAAACCCCACCTTTCTCCTTCCTCCTCGGTCATCACTCCCGTCGCCGTTGTAATGAGCACGTCCCCTTTGCGAAATCTGGCCACAAAGAAGAAGAATGTTGACTTTCAGAGTTTGCTTACAGATGGAGTAACAGAACCACTGATGCTTCTTATTAGTCTATCCTTATCCATTTGAAATAGATAGAAATAGATAGGCAAATAGAAGGGGAAGAGATGGAGGCAGTGAGAGATTTTACTTTCTTGGGCTCCATGATCACTGCAGATGGTGAAAGCAGCCGCGAAATTAAAAGACGCCTGCTCCTTGGGAGAAAGGCAATGGCAAACCTAGACAACATATTAAAAAGCAGAGACATCACCTTGCCAACAAAGGTCCGTATAGTTAAAGCCATGGTTTTCCCAGTAGTGATGTATGGAAGTGAGAGCTAGACCGTAAAGAAGGCTGATCACCAAAGAATTGATGCTTTTGAATTATGGTGCTGGAAGAGACTCTTGAGAGTCCCATGGACTGCAAGAAGATCAAACCTCTCCATTCTGAAGGAAATCTGCCCTGAGTGCTCACTTGGAAGGACAGATCCTGAAGCTGAGGCTCCAATACTTTGGCCACCTCATGAGATGAGAAGACTCCCTGGAAAAGACCCTGATGTTGGGAAAGATGGAGGGCACAAGGAGAAGGGGATGACAGAGGACCAGATGGTTGGACAGTGTTCTCGAAGTTACCAGCATGAGTTTGACCAAACTGCGGGAGGCAGTGGAAGTCAGGAGTGCCTGGCGTGCTCTGGTCTATGGGGTCACAAAGAGTCGGACACGACTAAACAACAACAACAACAACAAGATCCTTTTGAAGAAGAGAAAAGAAAGGCAGATGTCATCCTGGAAACCTTAACGAAGCGGTGGCATAAATTGATGCCTCTCAGAGGTTGCGGCACAGGGGTGGAAGACAGATAAGAAATCTCGAAGAACTATTTCAGGAGTTATTAATAATAATAATAAAAAATAAATAAATAAATAAATAAATAAAAATTTATTTATACCCCGCCCTCCCCGGCCAGAGCCAGGCTCAGGGCGGCTAACACCAATAAAATTTCAGTAAAAACATAATAAGAAAAAAGAAAAAGAACAATTTAAAACACAGGTTAAAATTCAATTTAAAATGCAGCCTCATTTTAAATTGTAGCTAGAACTAAAGTAAATCCCCTCCTCTCTTCCCGTAGCTGGTGGAAACCAGCTCCCATTATCTTCCACCATGGTTGGAGCTGATGGGATTTTAAAATAAAATAAATAATAATAATAATAATACCAGATTTTTTAAAATTAAATCAGATTTTTAAAATAAAATGCTTTTGGAGGAAAAACCATTCTAAAGATAGTTTTCTATTTAAGTTACATTATAGTCCAAAGGCTATCCATCAGGAAATAAGGATTTCCTTTAAGTTTTTCATGTGTGCTAAAACTCAGTCTGAAGTTTTTTTTAAAAAATTGTTTAACCACATCAGTTAACAAATATCGATGCTATAATGTTATTGTTTTAGTTAAATAATTGTTTAAATTGTTATTGAGGAAATGTTTATTTTTCTCCTTCCGATAAAGTACAGCAGAAAAGTTGTCCAAATATAAACAGCTAACTTATCAAACCTCACAATAATTTCATAACTATCTGTCTATGTATTTCTAATAGTATAACCAAATCAGTAATTTTTGATATAACTGTAAAAACTGTTCTGAAAATTTATTATTCCAAAAATGAAACCTTCATCTGCTTGTAAATATGCAAGAATGAATCTGTCTGTAAAAAAATATGATTTAAATCAAGTCTTACTGACTAGTGATTTAAATCGTGATTTAAATCGATTTGATTTAAATCAAATCCACCCTGATTGAAGTCCAACAGCACTTGACTACCCCCGAGCTTATACCACAAAACTTTAGTTCCTAGTATTTCTAATTAAACAGAGAAGCATGGGACCGAGGGATGGAGAAATTTAATTGGACTGTTTGGACTATACGATAATTGGACTAATTATCATTTTGCGAGTATGGAATCTGGAAGGTATGTGCTATTTATATTCGGCTGAATGGAGGAATGGAAGGAATCTGGAAACTTGCCAAGTGCACTGGAAAGATAACAGATCCTTCTTCTTCCAAGGCTGGGAGGGAAAATGGTGAAAACAGGTCACTGACTGGGATAGAGTGACTTTTGCAGCTATTGTTAAAGCCGCAAAAACAAAGAGCATGGGACTGAGTGAGGGAGAAATTTCTGGAGCAACACTGGGATATCATCTCCGCTCAAGGCATGACAGATTGCAGCAACGACCAGGGAAAGATTGGCATACATGGACAGGAAGAAACATCCTGGACAGAACAAATGTCACACACAGGAAAAACAATGATACAGTATGAGATCTTCACTTGTAGACTTTGTTGTTGTTGTTTAGTCGTGTCCGACTCTTTGTGACCCCATGGACCAGAGCATGCCAGGCACTCCTGTCTTCCACTGCCTCCCGCAGTTTGGTCAAACTCATGCTGGTAGCTTCGAGAACACTGTCCAACCATCTCGTCCTCTGTCGTCCCCTTCTCCTTGTGCCCTCCATCTTTCCCAACATCAGGGTCTTTTCCAGGGAATCTTTTCTTCTCTTGAGGTGGCCAAAGTATTGGCGCCTCAGCTTCAAGATCTGTCTTTCCAGTGAGCACTCAGGGCAGATTTCCTTCAGAATGGAGAGATTTGATCTTCTCGCAGTCCATGGGACTCTCAAGAGTCTCCTCCAGCACCATAATTCAAAAGCATCAATTCTTCGGCAATCAGCCTTCTTTATGGTCCAGCTCTCACTTCCATACATCACTACTGGGGAAAACCATGGCTTTAACTATATGGACCTTTGTTGGCAAGGTGATGTCTCTGCTTTTTAAGATGCTGTCTAGGTTTGTCATTGCTTTTCTCCCAAGAAGCAGGCGTCTTTTAATTTCGTGGCTGCTGTCACCATCTGCAGTGATCATGGAGCCCAAGAAAGTAAAATCTCTCACTGCCTCCATTCCCCCCCCCCCTTCTATTTGCCAGCAGGTGATGGGACCTGTGGCCATGATCTTCTTAATGTGTCAACATGAATAGAAGTTACAAATATAGCAGCTGTTGTATAAGGGATTACTACTATGATGGGAATGTAATTGAAATCAGTAAGATTTTGGAATGTAGAAACAAAGAAAATCATCAAAATAATCTATTCTAGTCCTTGGGGGGGCACGTAAATTATATAATTTGGAATTTGAATGATTTGTATTAGGAACTGTATTATAATTTGGCATTGTTCTAATGAGGCTATTATTGGATTATTGTAACTGAAAAAATATTAAAAATTATTATATACTAAAAGTATTCCTAATTAAACCAGATTCGAATCCTATCCTGAAGTCATCCATATTTACCTGCAGCATCTGAAACAACAAAAGCTCAAACACCAAACATACCACAGCTTTTACTTCATGCCCCTTTGAAAAATATTTCTACTTCTGCCTTAAGTCCAAAGAAAGGCAGAATTCAGCCAGAAGCTTGTCAATATTTCTGGCCAATTGGTGTATTTCTTTTTAAAGTCTAACAGAGGACTGAAACACACTACCACCAAAGTGCCATTTTCTACATCAGTCTCTCTCACTATAGATAAAGACCATACCTTCATCAATTGCTCATTAGTATTTGCTAGCCATGGCACTAGCAAGTGTAAAAATACAATGGAACTATTCCGCTTATAACACCAGAGCCTCTTAAAAATATATATATATATCAGCCGTAAGTTACCTTTGGTAAAGCATCCTGAAGGAACTGTCTTTGTCAAAAGACTGGTTGCCTGAGTGCATGGCAATCCTTTCGGGTATCCAGCCAGTCAACGCATGGAGATCAATATTCTGAAATAAAAGCAGATTTCCTCGGTAACAAAAACAGCAGTATAACCCAGGACTGTGAAAAAGCCATGCATGTGGGGGGAAATTGCTATTTTTGAAAAGCAAGAAGTTTAATAAAAGGTATGGTTCCAGTTCTGAAACTTCCAGTTTTCATTTCCTTTTGGTGCTGGCCTACGTGAAACTTTTTAGGAGGTAACAGAAGGCTAATTCACAGAAAACGCCATGGATTTTGCAGCAGCCATCAGAAATTTTCAGATTCAGAGGAAACAGAACTGCACTGGCTAACACAGCTTCTTTCTTCCTTACCTTTGGCCACAGTATAATGGTTTCTTCCCTCCATCATCACAGAGATGCAGCTGAAAATGTGATATCAATAAGGGCCAAAGCCTCAGAAACTGGAGACCAAGTTGTGGTACCCAAATGCATCCCCCCCCCCCCCCCGAATTTCATCCATAAAACCCCATACTAGACTTCAGTCGTGCTAACTTGCATTTGCCAAGAACATTCCCCAAATAAGGCCAACTCAAATATAACTTACTCCTACAGAGATTATTTGCCGTGCTGGAAAAAAAGCACACATGCTACAATGAACAAAAAGCAGAGATCGTATTTTGTTTATGATGGCATCCGTCTATTTTACATTCTCTACTTGGGATTAATGAAAGAGCTCTTCATAATGGGAAGATCTGCCTGAACAGACATTTACTCCTTGCCAAGAACAGATCAGTACTCACAGAATTTGATCCTGGAAAATCATAACCTCCCATAACCTTCATGTAAGCTTTCTCTATCAAGGAAACCCAGAGTTCGCTTTTGTTGTTGGAGTAAGAGCAGAGAAGTTCTCCGCTGTGATCCACCGGTAGGAAGTCATCGATTATCACCTGGGCAAAACAGGACAGAGAGAGATCAAACCAAGAGCTTAAATAAGACAGCTGTGGCAGCTTCGCGTGGAATTAAGTAAGTCACACAGAAGAGTCAGGCTCATAGAACGAAGAATATACATTGGCTCTAGCCAAGCGTTCTGACAATGTGTTGATTAAAACATGAGATGCGGGGGACATGGGGGCACTGTTAGCTATTTGTGATAAAAAAAGACACCTTACACAAGACTTGAAGATAATTTTTTGCTTGTCAGGTTGGCAACAGTTGAACAAGAAGTATTATTCATATAGTCATACCTTGGATCCTGAACACCCTGGAACTTGGATATTTTGGCCCCTAAATGATCGAAACCCGGAAGTGACTGTTCTGAGTTTTGAACTTTCTTTTGGAAGCCGAATGTCTGACGGGACTTCTGATTGGCTGCAGGAGCTTCCTGCAGCCAATCAGAAGCCGCGCTTTGTTTCCAAACATTTTGAAGAAGAAGAGTTTGGATTTGATATCCCGCCTTATCACTACCCTAAGGAGTCTCAAAGCGGCTAACATTCTCCTTTCCCTTCCTCCCCCACAACAAAGACTCTGTGAGGTGAGTGGGGCTGAGAGACTTCAGAGAAGTGTGACTAGCCCAAGGTCACCCAGCAGCTGCATGTGGAGGAGCGGGGAAGCGAACCCGGTTCACCAGATTACGAGTCTACCACTCTTAACCACTACACCACACTGGCTCTTGGAAGTTGAACGGATTTCCAGAATGGATACTGTTCAACTTCCAAGATACTGACTGTATACTGTATATTAATGAACACAATGTGTTTCTCTCCCTTGAGCCCAAGAGAGGGTTTAGTCCTTTTTGTTTTCAAAACTCCTTCATAGGAGTGCCTAAGGTAATAATCCACAGATTGCTTGTCCTCACAAACTCCTCCAGACAGTGTCTGCCTGAAATCAGCACTCTCTCACGTTCTTGGCCAAAGAAACAACTAACGGAATAACCAGCCAACTCCCACCTGCCACCTCCTTTCCCCAATACCATTTAAAAAAAAAATACATTTACAATGCAAATGCAATACAAATGCTAACAGACACCTGCCAATATTGCTGTTCCCCTGTAAAAGCTGTGAATTGCGTGTGGTGGGGGGGGGCAAGGTCTTGTTTTTGTGGTATATTCATCCTTGTGGAGACCCCCATGTGTTCAGTCAACAACTTAATAGGATATAATTACATAAAATTCTAACCATCAACCTAGCAAGCAAACAATCATGACCTTACCTTCCGAGGGACCCCATTGATATGCAGCTTAACCATGTATTTTCCACACGGATTATATTCCGGCTCTCCTTTTTTATTCTGCGGATAAATAATGCTGTGTTGAAGGGGGGAAGGGAAGAGACCAGGGGAAATATTAGAATATATTCTGTGTGCATGTTGTGGACTAAGCCAAGTCTATTTCAATCCCGTGTTGTCAACTTAAAGCTTAAGAAAGAGTTGGTATCGTGTGCTTTTTGGTGTTAAACCCACACCTGAGAGGGAAAGGTTCTCTGTTATATAGAGAACTGAAAGTCCCAAACAGTAAAGGACACCAGCGACCACAATGGAGTTAGGCATATAAAATTGCAGCAAACAAAAATTATTAGGGTAGAGATGCCAGGTGTTTGAGCCTGCAACTTTTTGCATGTAAGATGCTCTACAGCTAAGCTATAGGTAAAAGGTAAAGGACCCCTGGACGGTTAAGTCCAGTCAAAGGCGACCATGGGGTTGCGGCGCTCATCTCGCTTTCATTTTTTAAAAAAAATAATATTTATTACTTTTCCAAAAACTTAAACACTAAAAAGACAATACAATGCAATACATTAAACCAACAAAACAAAACAAAAACAATAAAATAAATCAAACAATTTCATTATCCCATCTTTCATTCACTTATTTCCACGACCTCTTCACACCTCCCTTTTTGTATTCCACTTCTGTTAATTATTTCAACAATTCCTTTCCATCTTCCTTGTTTTCTATCCTATAATTATCTTAACTCATTCTAACCTTATTTTTTCCTTTAATGCTCTATTAATCTATCTATACTTAATTCCTTATAACATTTCTACTAAAGCCATATAACTTCATTCCAACATTTTTCTAACATTCATTAATTTTCATCTCGCTTTCAGACCAAGGGAGCCGGCGTTTGTCTGCAGACAGCTTTCCGGGTCATGTGGCCAGCAGGACTAAACCGTTTCTGGAGCAACGGGACACTGTGATGGAAACCTGAGCGTACAGAAATGCCATTTACTTTCCTGCTGCAGTGGTACCTATTTATCTACATGTGCTGGCGTGCTTTCGAACTGCTAGGTTGGCAGGAGCTGGGACAGAGCAACGGGAGCTCACTAGGTTGTAGGGATAAATAAATAAAATTAAATAAATAGTACAGAGTATATAACTATTATAACCTCACCACTTATGCCATGCAGTGGTGCAACTTATTTAGATCATGTCATGAACAGCCCAGTCATTCCTATTATACTGACACAACTGAGCTTCCTGCTCCCCAGTGAATCATGCAGCCAGCACCTTCCTTGCCATGGCAAAACTTTGGGTGGAGTGAATGGAGAACTGATGAATGATCTAGTCATGCACTGATTTCCCTAGATATTGGGAGGGATAGACACAAAGCACTGGGCTCCTGTTACTAGTGGCAACCTTGCATTTGTTGTCATCCTGCCTGGTAGCAGACTAAACTACATCACAAGAGTATTGTGACATCAGCAGTGCCATCCCAGCCAGACTTTGGAGCAGATGGTCAGGACCCCACTCCATGGGCAGGATCGTCCCCCTTGAGGTGGTGAGAAGGCTACAAACAACACTGACGTAAGCCAAATCGCACAGAAACGCTGTTTACCTTCTCGCCACAGTGGTACCTATTTATCTACTTGCACTGGCGTGCTTTCAAACTGTTAGGTTGGCAGGAGCTAGGACAGAGCGATGGGAGCTCATTCTGTCGTGGGGATTCGAACCACCGACCTTCTGATCGGCAAGCCCAAGAGGCTCAGTGGTTTAGACCACAGCGCCACCCGCATCCCACAGCTGAGCTATGGTCCCTCCCTGAATGCGTTCCCCATGCCTCTCACAACCGAGGATTTATGATTTCAGAGTGGTTATAAATACATGGATTGAAAGTGGGAGATATCTGAACACAACAGGGGTGGAAGATGCAGCAACCATCTTGAAACCAGCCATCTTGATTCAAACACACCATAAAGGCCTAGAAGAGGGAGGGAGATTTTCTGTGAAAAGCAGGAAATAAGCAAGCAGACAGAAGGGCTTGGGAAACTGCGGACTCAGCTATACTGGCAAAGAAAAAGCGTTTTATACGCACTGTTTATGCTTTATAACTCTGAGACACCAGATGGCACTGTGGAGTTCCGTTTTTGCCAACCTGATTTCTCATAGAAAGTTTACAACGCGCTTAACCAAAACGCTTCTTTTATGTGTCTAGATCTGGCCTGGGTATCATGGGCCAAAAAGGTGGTGTTGAGCTTCATCAACCAATTTGATGTTACCGGTCAGGACTCTGGCTGCAGGTTTCCGGAGCACGTTAAAATGGCCAAAATGACCGGAAGAATCAGAAATCAGGAAGACCAAATTTTTTAATAAGGAACAGGGGAAATTTATAATTTACCTTAAAAATCATTGTAAACAGTTAAAATCATTAGTAGGATTGGAGTAACATTTGTAGTTTAGTGGTGAATTTTGGATATAACGGAGATGTAAAAGATCTGGATTATTATAAAAGATGCAGGAGGAAATGATTAATAATAGGACCCACAAGGAGGCAGGAGGGAAGTCCAGGAGATTCTTTGGAATCTTGTTTTTATGTTGGATGTTGGATATGTGATTGTAAAATTATAATTTGAAAAACTAAATAAATATATATTTTAAAAGAAATGGCCAGAAAGCACATAGATAGTGAAGCTGCCAAGTTATTTCCAGCACATTTTTTTATATTAAAAAAAAATTTGAAACAAAAACTTTGCAGATCATCTGCCAGAACCTGTACCTGGTAATCAGCTTCTTGTTGTATCGTCTTTCATATGCCGCACTGATAGCAAGAGAAGCTACGAAGGAACAATCTGACACGATTGTCTGAGGACAGAAAGAGTAAAGGGTCAAGGAGTTTCAGAACTACCCAAACTGTATAGAAATTTATTCATGTATGCGACTACAGCGGCAAGAATGTCACTTGCCCAAAAATGGAAAGCAAAAGAAGAATGGATACAAAAACTTATGGAATATGCAGAAATGGTGAAACTTACCGGAAAAATAAGAAATGAAGATAACAAACTTTTTATAAAAGAATGGAAGTGGTTTATTGAATATTTACTTATAAATTGCAAACAGATAAAAACATTGGCAGGATCACTGTAATAACCTGCAGTTTCATAAGAGTATATATTTAAAGTAGATGAATAAATGAGCAAATTAAGTTAATTCGGATATGCAGAAAATATTAAAAATAAATTTAAGGAGCCGTAGAAAGAGGGGGAAGGAAGTTTTGAAATGTTAAAATGATTGTAAAATTACTGAAATGTATAAAACTGAAAATCATAAATGAAATATAAAAAAAATGAAGTGCCACTGACAAGCAGGCCAATGTAAAGAGGATTGGGGGGGGGAGACACCCAACAATAAATTAGATCTCTCAATTGATCGAAAATGTGGGGGAAGAACTGAGTTAATTCAAGGCAAATAAATATGCTTGAAACTGTAAACACCAGTTTCCTCAAAAGTCAGGTAACCACACAGGGATGGGGAGCCAGAGGCCCTCCATATTGCCAGGGATGATGGGAATATCTGCAAGGCCACATAGCTCCCATCTCTGATATACCAGTTCTAACCTCAAAGCACCCAAACCTCTGGATTCTTCGTCAGATCCAAAGGCATTGAAGAAAATATTCTCCATTTACTTTGACAGATGAGAAAGAGCCACTGATTCTGTTTCCCTCTAAAGCATTCCTCTAAACACACCTTCTCCAACTGCAGCAGAGCAGGGCTAGGGAACCTGCAGCCCTCCAAATGTGACTGAACTCGAACTCCCACCCTGGCTGACCACTGGCTAAGCTGCTCAGGACTAATGGGAGTTGGAGGTCAATACTACCCATGTTAAAGGTAAAGGGACCCCTGACCATTAGGTCCAGTCATGGCCGACTCTGGGGCTGCGGCGCTCATCTCGCTTTACTGGCCAAGGGAGCCAGCGTACAACTTCCGGGTCATGTGGCCAGCATGACTAAGCCGCTTCTGGCGAACCAGAGCAGCACACGGAAACACCGTTTACCTTCCCGCTGGAGTGGTACCTATTTATCTACTTGCACTTTGACGTGCTTTCGAACTGCAAGGTTGGCAGGAGCACTTACAGCCTGCAAATGAAATGGCCCTTCCGATTCCTGAATTAGGGCTCTGACACGTAATTAATACTTTCTGGTAGTGTGGGGGTTCTGAACATTGCTCACAGGAAGGCAACAGTGTATGAAAGAACATCAAAGCGAAAGCTCTCTTTGCAGACTGTGAAAGTGTCAGCTTCTGCCGTCTTGCTTTGTTTCTTATTTGAAGATAGCCAACTGTGTCAGATCCTCCTTACCTGTTTTATGCTGAAGCTCGACACTGTGTAGATCATGGTGGGGCTGTTTGTTATCTCATCAGGCCGCACCCAGCGGGAAAACATTGCCTTTTGCTTGGGAGACAACGGCAGCTTGCCACATCTATCTCTGCAATCAAAGCAATCCCCACCCCAAACCAAAAGTCACTGCTAAGTATGAAATCCACGGGCTGGTAAAATCACTTTATCACACATCATTTTTATCAGGGCAAATCAGGAAGCAATACCCAAAAGGTTTTCTGCCCACCTATGAAGATTCAAAAGACCACCTGAGCCTAGCTCCTAATTGTTCTTGTTCCCTTTGGGCTCTTAGCTCTCCAAACCTGGAATTCCAGCCTCCAGTTCATGATCAGCCTTGCTTGGGCTCCTACACTGAATTAAGGTGAAAGGTAAAGGACTCCGGGACTGTTAAGGTGACTACGGGGTTGTGGCGTTCATCTCACTTTCAGGCAAAGGGAGCAGGCGTTTGTCCACAGACAACTTTCCAGGTCATGGGGCCAGCAGGACTTAACTGCTTCTGGCGCAACTGAACACTGTTTACCTTCCCGTCATAGTGGTACCTATTTATCTACTTGTGCTGGCGTGCTTTTGAACTCCTAGGTTGGCAGGAGCTGGGACAGAGCAACGGGAGCTCAACCCGTCGCGGGGATTCGAACCGCCAACCTTCTGATCAGCAAGCCCAAGAGGCTCAGTGGTTTAGACCACTGCGCCACCCGATGAATTATACCCTGCTTGCCCCAATATTTACCGCTGTGAAGACTACTTAGGCCTCATGACCAACAACCAAAGCAATCTCCCTGTAATATATGCAGATCCTGGCAATCAATCTGTATTTGAGTTTATTTCCTAGGCTCCTTACAAACGAGTCTACTCCGCTTCGGTTCCAGAAAGCCACAATATAAAATAGCTCTTTTTTTAGCAATAGTTGCTTTACAATCTGCTTTTAATTTTTCATTCTTTGCTGCTTTTTTTATATCTTCATACTGTTTTGTTTTGCCAGTATCACTCAACTGCTGCTGTCAGAATATTGTTATAACAGTCTTAGATTGTGGCTTTTATGGATTGTAATGTGTGATCATGCAATTTTATCTTTTTAATATGGAGCAAATATTCATCGGCAATTACTTTTTGAGATTGACTTCCAGACTCAAATGTGTACATGTTTCCCCTGCCACACTTTCTTTAAATCTGAAGACCTCTCAAGCCTCCTTAGCATTAGGGCTGTAGGGCTCATGAGTTACTTCCAGCAGCGTAAGAGAGTAAGAAGAGATGCGCTTCAGAGACCACAAAGACCACAGAGACCATTTTGAAAAAAAGCTTTGGAAAAGTTGCCCACTTAACTCATTCATGATTCTACAATCCTAAGTCAGTGTGAAACAGTTAAAACTCTGGAAGATACTAATAACAGGAGCATGCAGACCTCTGGAGTCTTACAAGTTAAAAATAATGCTTTCTTCCATTTTATAAATACCATATTAGGTTATGGTCTGATTAATTACAACTTTTTTGGGAAATGTATACAATTTTTGTTTTTGTTGTGTTTTGTTTTCTACATGGGTAGTATTCTTTCTTTTTTTTTTTTTTTGTGTCTTATCTTACTCTGTGCACTTGCAATTATGTACTTTTTATCTTTGGCCAGGGTGCAGTCTGACCTATTTTCCTTTGTATAAGAACAAGCATGAAGGAGGCCTCCCAGCCTGTCCACAGGTCCTTATACGATCCGTGAAAACAGTTGGTCCTGGCAAGTATTAACCGCTCTCAGTCTTAACCTGATAACTGCCATTTGTGCAGATTATAATTTGTCTGAATTAATTTTAAGACATATTTTAATTAATTGATGCCTGTTTTTATGTATACTGTGTTATTTATATGATGTTAGCCACTCTGAGCCCAGCTCCAGCCGGGGAGGGCGGAGTACAAATAAAATATTATTATTAATTATTATTATAATTATCTTTCAATAAAGAATATATGTATATATAAAATAAAGTTTTCTTCCAGCTTCCACTGCACTGATCAGTCAGGGTTCAAGAAGCCCATTAATTTATTGCATTTAGTCTATTACAGATGTCCCTTTCTAAAAGCATGTAAAACCACAAGTACAAAGAGGTGCCCACTATTTTGCAGCCTCTCTAACATTTGTCGGTGCTTCAAGGTTCCTTAATCTGAAGTTGAATGGCCTGTAAGCATTTTTCCTAACAGTAGCAGTGTTCAAAAATTTAACAGGGGTACTGCAGATGTCAAGACTATTTCTATAGCGCGTATAGTTGAATGAATTCACCTACGATGAGCAGGCGGCAACAGCTTACTTTTCACACCGCCCTTTCAAGGGAGCACCTGAACATTGTTCCCCAGAGACAATTCTTAAGAATAATAAGGAATGAGAAAGCATTTCGGTGAGTCCATAGCTAGGCAGCTTATATTCACTTACGAGAAAGGTACTGGAAAAGCAAAACGCTCTCTGAGGTCAACGCTCATGAAAGGGACGTACTCAATGCCATTGATCTTTGATGTCTTCCTATGAAAACAGGATGCAAGATGTCAGGACCACAATGCTATTCAAATGCATTTGTTTCCCACCCAGACAGGCTCTAAATGAACAGCTGAGGTATACCTGCCTGCTTAATGCCTTTAGAATTTTTAGTATGGGAACGGGAGCAAGACGCAGTGGATGGTCTCGTTTTAAAGAGCCAGCAAATTTTCCCCTTCAGTTTTGCATTGAAAGCTTTGTTCACATGGTCATTAGCCCTGAATGTTCTGGCCACCAAAGGTTCAAAGCAGAAATGGCTGGTTGAGTTAGATAAAGAGGTGGGGAGGTCAGTGTGGTGCAAACACAGCGTCTTAAAATAGACACTGCTTCCCCAGACCACCAGGGGGCTCCATCTCTTTGAAGCTTGCCTGCCAGGCAGGAAGTTACTACTGTAGCCTTCCCCTGACTTCCTCCAAAGCTGTACAAAGTCCTATTTGTGTTGGCTTGTTTTAAAAGGGCAGCAGGAGTGGTGGCGGCAAACCTGTATCTCCTTTAGCAGCAATGCTATTCCGCGCCAAAATATATGGATACATTTATCAGCTAAATATCCTGCTGTTAGCCTTAGTACATTTGCATCCCGAAGGGAAATGGGATTAGAATTACACGTTGCTTGATCATTGGCATAAACTCCACGATAAAGTCGGCACGCCTTCTTGATATTTAAGAGCCGTGCAACATTTGCTGTTGTTGTAACTGTTAGGATATTGATGTTCCATTCCGCCTTAAGAGGAACAGATATGTGGAGTTGTTGTAAGTCACATGTCTATTTACTTCCAGCATAGTCTGCTGGGAACTTCCGTTGTATATTGCTTTTGCTATGCTGCTGTTTTGCTTGGACACGAAGGGAAGCAGACATGTTTTCCCTTTGTTCCTGAACTATGCTGAATAAAAAGGTAAAGGGACCCCTGACCATTAGGTCCAGTCGTGGCCGACTCTGGGGTTGCGGCGCTCATCTCGCTTTATTGGCCGAGGGAGCTGGTGTACAGCTTCCGGGTCAAGTGGCCAGCATGACTAAGCCGCTTCTAGCGAAACAGAGCAGCGCACGGAAATGCCATTTACCTTCCCGCCGGAGTGGTACCTATTTATCTACTTGCACTTTGACGTGCTTTCAAACTGCTAGGTGGGCAGGAGCAGGGACCGAGCAACGGGAGCTCACCCCGTCACCGGGATTCGAACCGCCAACCTTCTGATCGGCAAGTCCTAGGCTCTGTGGTTTAACCCACAGCGCCACCCGCATCCCTGTAAATAATGCTTACACATGTCTCTGTCCGCCACTTCCATTGCAAAGAGTTCTTACCTCTGCTGGCTTGCGTGCTTAAGCTTCTGAAGGCTTCTGAGGCTGATTGATGCTGTTCCGAGATCTGGAGTTCACCTGGCTGCTGGCCGGTGGCTGGAGCCAGCTGGGGGCCTGCCAAAAGCCCCCGTCTCCCCAGACGCATCCCAACAGAATCATCACATCGGTCTACAATCTGGTGCTTTCAACAATCCCATGCATGCTTGCTCAGAAGTAAGCCTCACTGTGTTCAGTGGGACGGGCTCCCTGGTTTAAGTGTGCACCCGACTGCAGTCTAAATGAGGCAACCCATTTTCAACAAGCCTGGAAAACTGTTCCCTTTCCTTACCTGAGCACCTCAATCTCCTCCGCGGTGTATCGCTGACCTTGAGGTTCACTGGCCTGCACAGCTCTGACTGCCTGTGGCTTATCGTTCAAGGAAAAATCAGGCCCCAATGGAAAGTAAGTCCTGGCTTGCTGATTTGGTTTCGCTGGGACCGGCTTGTCTTTCTGAGACGGCTTTGAATCCTTCAGCGCTTCAGCTCTAAAATAGAGAGTTTGCATTTTAGACGCATCAAGAGTTTTTATTTCATTGGTGGCAGTACATTGTGAATCCTCCTATAAATGCCACCAATCATATACTACTCATTTTGCTATGTAAAAATGCAAAAAATATTAATTGCTTTTGTGAGAACGAATGATTAAAAAACAAACAAGGCAAGCGTGACTGCATATTTCTTACGTACCGTATTTTTTGCTCTATGACTCACTTTTTCCCTCCTAAAAAGTAAGGGAAAATGTGTGTGCGTCTTATGGAGCGAATGCAGGCTGCACAGCTATCCCAGAAGCCAGAACAGCAAGAGGGATTGCTGCTTTCACTGCGCAGTGATCCCTCTTGCTGTTCTGGCTTGTGAGATTCAGAATATTTTTTCTTGTTTTCCTCCTCCAAAAACTAGGTGCGTCTTATGGTCTGGTGTGTCTTATAGAGCGAAACATACGGTATTTGCATTCTTAGGCTTCTCGTATACTCTACATGTTAAACGTCCATAAAACCTTTGTTTCATACAGCCCAAGGATTCCTGTACAGCAAGAACAGCATATGCAATCTAACATAGAAACCACTCAAGACAGTTCTTTCAACTAAAAGAAAACCTGAAAATTTTGTGCATACTAACAGGAATCATGTAACCATTTATTTAGCAAGTTTCTTGTTGCGTTGTCTTGCTAGAGATTTGTGTACAGCCAGAAATTTAGCTGAAAACAGCTATGTTTTCTATTCTTCTAAATACAGTACACAGATAATCAGAATATGCTTCAGGATTTCCTTCATTTAAACAGTCATCCTTGATGGTCCAAGCTCTTATACCAACACAAGTGCAATGCAAACAAATCCACACTCACAATTATCTATGCAAGGCATCACTGGCCTAAACTAAGAGGGAAGAACTGGTTTTGTAAAAAAAATTCACTGCATAGTTGCCTGGAAGCAGCTCCCATTCACCGTAGATGACCAAAGAGAATAACTGTATCTACACGGCTCGTTCTCTAAATACACAACTGATCATTGTTTTTTTGCAAGAGAGGGCATCTCGTGGATGCCATCCTATCAGGAAGTCTATTCTGAACAATGTTGAAATTTGGCCTTTGGAACTCCCTCCCACTGCATATCAGATAGGTGCCTTCTCCATTAGCTTTCTTGCTAAGGATATTCCGCTTTCGACAAGCCTTCTAAAACCTTTAGCACACTTGGGATAAAGTTTTGCACGGCTTTAATGCTGCAACCCATCCTGGGATGTTACAGTGAAGGATGCATAACTAATAAAACATATGAACAAACATGCTTTATGTATGCACTGTTTTTTAGAAACTGTTTTTATACTCATAACTACTTTTAAAACCTGTTTTAATATATGCAGCTATTTTAGACACATTGCTATATTGTAAATCCGTTTGAGAGGCCTTCTGGGCAGCGATTCGTAAATGAAAGAAACAAATGATTGCTGATATCAGCAGTGCTGACCAATATATGGAATTTCAAAATATATTGTGTTGTATCCAATGCTAGCCATCCTCAGAGCAGGCCCACTTAAATTAATGGACACGAGTAATGTTGGTTCATTCATTTCAACAAGTCTTTTCTGAGTACAACTTTGCTGGATGCAACCCTCTCAATTAGAATGCAACTAACACATTTATATAAGCCCAGTTTATTAAAACAAAATCCGATTAGAAACACACTCATAAAAATATAGCATATATATATATATATATATATATATATAGCATATGGAATTAAAGGACTTTATACAGCACTCATATTGGACACAGCTCACCCCTTTTCTATCTGATGTCAGTCACAATTTTGTTTGCAGCTGTATTGTTTTAAATTGTTTTAAATATGTTTTATTGCTTTGTTGCTTGTTGGTTGCTGCCCTGGGCTCCCTTTGGGTGGAAGGGTAGGAAATAAATCTAATAAAGAAACATTTTATTTGGAAACATGAAAAAACACACTACTTACTGTCGATATTCAAACAAAAATACAAACACCACAGCAAATGGCATTTCAGAAGGTAGCTGTGTGGATTTTGCTTTAGACTCTTATGGATTTGCACTAAGTTCTTTATTAAAATTAACAAGTAATGCAAACATGAATTTGAATATGCAGAAGATATAAAAAAATGAATTTAAGGAACTGCAGAAAGAAGGGGAAGGAAGTCAAACTTTCAATTGTTAAAATAATTGTAAAATTAATGAAATGTATAAATTTGAAAGGGGATAAAACCTCAGCGCCTAGGACTTGCTGATCATATGGTCGGCGGTTCGAATCCCCGCGGCGGGGTGCGCTCCCATCGTTCGGTCCCAGCGCCTGCCAACCTAGCAGTTCGAAAGCACCCCGGGTGCAAGTAGATAAATAGGGGCCGCTACCAGCCGGGAAGGTAAGCGGCGTTCCCGTGTGCTGCGCTGGCTCGCCAGATGCAGCTTGTCACGCTGGCCACGTGACCCGGAAGTGTCTCTGGACATCGCTGGCTCCCGGCCTATAGAGTGAGATGAGCGCACAACCCTAGAGTCTGGCAAGACTGGCCTGT